GCTCAGTCGGTTGAGCTTTCGACTTCAGCTCAGGTCATGATCTCGCATTTCGTGGGTTCAAGCCCCACATCGGGCTCTCGCATTTCGTGGGTTCAGGCCCCACATCGGGCTCTGTGCAGAGCCTGGAGCCTGCTTCAGATTTTGTCTCCCTCTCTCTCTGCCCCTCCTCTGCTCACTCTCTCTCAAAAATAAACAGACATGAAAAAAAAGTTTTTTAAAGGGGCAAGAGGAAGTGAGACTGTAGCTCACCTGGCCCACCCTCCACTGAGGGTGTGAGTATAAAGGGTAGCAGGACAGATGGAACCCCGCTATATCCTCATGGTGGTGGTGGTGGTTTCATGAATTTCTACACGTGTGAGAATTTACACAGCTGTGTGCCAAAAGAAAAAAAAAACATCAGTTTTACTGTATGATCGTTCAAAAAATAAAATTTTGGGGCACCTGGGTGGCTCCATCGGTTAAGCGTCCGACTTCGGCTCAGGTCATGATCTCACAGTTCACGAGTTCCAGCCCTGCATCGGGCTCTGCGCTGGCAGCTCGGAGCCTGGAGCCTGCTTCGTATTCTGCGATTCTCTCTCTGCCCTTCCCCCACTCGCACTCTTTCTCTCTCAAAAATAAAATGTTAAAAAAAATTTTTTTACACACAAAAAAAAAAAATCGTAAAAAAATTTTGAAAACTAAGAAAATGACAAAACCCCTGATCCCCTGTGCTGTCACCCTGAATGGACTGGGGAAGGTGCAGAGTAAAGGGGCTGAGGGAAAGCAAATGAGTTCCTTGCCCCCAACCCATCAGGGCATTATACTTCCCACCTTAAGGACCATACTCCACTGAGAGATGGAGTTAGCCAGGCCAGGCGGTTCTGGCCCACTAGCCCCTGGAACGAGGAGGTTCAGAACCTTTCAGAACTCAGAGAACTAGACCAACCTCAAAAAATAACAGTCCTTTGGGGTGCCTGGGTGGAGTGTCCCGACTCTCCATTTTGGCTCAGGTTATGATCTTGCAGTTCGTGAGTTCGAGCCCTGCATCAGGCTCTGCACTGACAGGGCAGAACCTGCTTAGGATTCTCTCTCTGTCCCTCTCCTTCTTGTGTGCATGTGTGCATGCTCTCTCTCTCCCTCCCTCTCAAAATAAACAAACATTTAAAAAAAAAAAAAAAGTAGGATCCCCTGGGTGGCTCAGGTCATGAGCCAGGTCATGATCTCACCGTTCATGAGTTTGAGCCCGAGTCGGGCTCTGTGCTGACAGCTCAGAGCCTGGAGCCTGTTTTGGATTCTGTGTCTCCCTCTCTCTCTGCCCCTCCCCCCTCACACTCTGTCTCTCTCAAAAAATAAATAAACATTAAAAAAAAATTTTTTTTAAGTCACAGTCCTTTAAGAGGAAAGGCCATGATTGTTTCTATTCTTTAGATTTTATTTAAAAAAAGAAAAAAAAAGTAAAGTGCATCTCATTAAAAAAAAATATAAAACCCACATAAACTCAGGGCCCCTGTGTTGGGCAGTGTCCATATACCTTAGAATGGGGCAGGCAAGGTACAGGGGATGGACTCTGGGGAGGACTAGGTTTAGGGGGGAGTCTGGGGTAGACGTGGGGAAAAGGGACACAGGTTTGCAGGCTGGGGTGGAGGAAGGCAGGCTTCCGAGAGAAAGGCGTCCATCGTCACAAACTCTCTCCCGGGCTCGCGCTGCCCCCTCTCACACGTGGCCACAGCCTGATACAGGCTGGAAAGGTCCAGCAGGTGAGCCGGAGCCCAGGGCCTTGGGAGGGCTGCGGGGGCGGTGTGGCACCCCCGCCTCCCCCTGGTCCCTGAGGTGATGGGATGATGGCTGTAATGGGCCGGCCAGCCGTCGAGGCAGGACGCACGGAGCCCGAGCCGGTCCTTGCCTCGGCAGAGACCAGGGGCAGCCGGTGGCGGCAGGCTAAGGCAGAGAAGGTGGAAGAGGCCGGCCGGTGGGGGTGCCCAGCTCTGTCTCAGACAACCACTTTGGGCGAATTCCCACGCCTCCGAGGCTGAGGCTGCGGGAGGGGCTGCGTGCGCGCCTGGGGCTCCGGGCTGTCTCCTCCTCACTCCTGTTTCACATTTTCCGTTGTTTAAACAAAGGGCTCAGTTTACACAGGGAGCGCTCTTCTGTCCATCGAGACAGGCCCCCATCTTCAGCTGGGACCTCCGGGGCCGCGGCTGTGGGTCGGAGGGGGCCTCGCTACGTGGCCCGCTCCATCGCTCCCGAGGGTCGGGCGCCACAGTTGTGTTCCGCGAGAAGCGGAGGCCCGGCTGACCCCCTCTTAGCACTCACGGCCTCTGAAGCCAAGGTGGACTCCTCTAGAAGTCAGCTGTCACACCACGGAGTCCCGGATCTCAGAGCCCAGGCGGACCCGGGGCCTGGGGCACACCGGGGACACCTCCACAAAGCTGTCCTGGATGCTGAGCGGCCTCTTCTCGGACTCCGTGAAGACGCGGGGCCCTGGGGGGCTGTCTGACAGGGCCTGGTAGCCTCGGTGGTCGAGAGGGGTGCTAGGGGGGCCTACGCCGTTAAGCGGCCGGGTCTCGGGTGGCAGCGCCGTAGGGCGGGTCTTGGGGTGCACACTGGCACACTCCCCCTGCTTCAGGAAGACTTTCATGCCGCCCCGGTGCCGGTAGAGGAAGAATAAAATCAGGAGCACCACAGCGAACACGAAGAGCGCGCACATCACCAGGAACTCGGTCCAGTAGGACTTGTCCGCACCCCAGCTGGCCTTGCCGCCGGCCGGCGCGCTCACCCGCGACGTGCTGATGACGACGGGCACGCCGCCGCTCCGGTCTGCTCGGTCCGCGATCAGGTCCTCTGCTACCTTTGGGCAGTAATTGGCCACCAGCTGCCAGAAGCCCTCCTCCAGCGACCAGCACTGGAACACCCCCAGTTCCTGCTGGCTGCCCACCAGCAGCAGGTCCCCAGTAGGCAACACGCGGCAGGAGGCCGAGGCGTTGACAGGGGCCCCGTCGTGGAGCCAGAGCCGGGTGGCCAGGTTGGAGAGGAGGGGGCAGGCCAACGTGTTCACCGTGTTGGGCTGAAACTGGACCCGCTCACACGGCTTCTCGCCTACAGACAGAAGACGCACGGGGTGAGAGGGGGCCCGGCATCCACGGTGGCCCCGAGCTCACCCGCCTCTCCCTGGACTGTGATCCTTGTACCATGATGGAAAACTCGGGGGACTCTGAGTCTGGGACGTGGACAGAAGGAAGGGCACTTATATCCACCGTCGCCTGCAGAAGGCTTCTCAGCGGACTTGGCCCCCACCTCTCCAGCTCGGACAGGGCAGTTTACCTGTTAGTACAGGAGCCGGAAGCCGGGCTGAGGACGTGTTGCAGAGGCCCCTGGCGTTCTCCCCCTCAATGTCCTGGATCCACGGCCTGGGGACCAAGAGACAGTCTGGGATAAGCCAGGAAACCACTGTGAGCCTGCATTGACCCTCCCCGCACCCCCCCCCC